TGGAATCACTACTGCTACTACCTAGCTACTCTCTTTCTCGCTCTCTCTCTCTCTCTCTACAGTACTCCCTTTGCCACTTTTTCTTGTTTACTACTGGAGCTTGATTGCAATCTGTCCACTCATTTAATATTCGCACTCTGTACCTTGTCTTCTTCTTCTCTTATCTTCTCTTCTCTTCTCTACTACGCGGCTACGCCTCAACACCAACGGCAGCCCCAGCCCAATATCCATCACATTCACAATGTTCATAATCATCAATTAAATACAGTAATATTTAATAAAGAATATTAGTCTTATCATACTATTACTTATTTCATTTTTATCATGTGCAATTGTCACCTGTACTCATCCCTATCGGACACTCAAATGCATCAAGAATATATGTTTGCTATTTTACTTTTTCTCCATACTTGGACACTTGTTCATATAAAGGAAAGTTTGGTGTTAGTACTTACATCAAATTCAAACCAATCATTCCTTTTACATTGATTCAAATCACAATTTGACTTGTAGGAGGAAGCATTAATCGTTAGATACTGGATTCATATAGTAATTTTCAACTTCAATTAAAAGCAGTCAACTGGATAATTATAATGACAAAAGGGCTTGCACATCATCAGCTCATGTGGTACTTTATTATATTTTGATTATTATTAGGTAAACTTGGGTTTATTGTACGTTACGGAACGTAATGCTATTTTGTTGGCATCGATTCTCTTAATAAGTTATCAACATCATGCATCCTATATCCATCCTTGTTGTATTTGCCAGATTTGCTTCGTAGATACAATATTCTACAAACAAGTATTTTCCACAAAGAAAATACAACGGCATGTCCACGAGACCGTCTGAAGAAAAGAAAGCTTTTTCAGTTTTCTTGGATTTGGGTCAAGCGAAAAATAAACTGACAAAATCTTTTTACTAAGCAGTATATATACATGAATAAAATCTCTCACTCCATCCCATTAATTATTAGTCAGAGTCATAGCATCTAATCTGTAATTATTTGGCATGGAGAAAGAAAAAAAAAGTAGGTTTGCTGCAGCTAAAAATAAAGCTGGTAAAGCTAGTGGGACAGTCCGAATGTCTCTTCCTCAAATCTCCCTCTCTCTCTCTCTCCCTACATATTGTGATCTCGGTTCCAATTTTCTCTCTCCTATTAAAGTTGGTAGCTCTATGTTCCAATGGAGCTCCATCGCTCCAATCCTGCGAAATCCGCATTGCTCCAATCAATGGAGAACAAATTGTCTCCACTCCACTTAATAATCCCTCCATCCAATCCAATACAATGTTTCCTTGTACGCATTGTCCATTCCCTTCTTATTTTTCTCAACACATTTTTTTGTACTTGAATCCATTTATTTGTTAATTAACAGTTAACAGTGCATTATCGCATATATTTGTTTTGGATTTGGATGAATCAATTATACTTACCCTACCAACCTTTTTGTAAGCGAATGCAAGCTTAAGCTCAACTCTCCCGTAGCTGATATATTTTCCTTTTGCTCAATGTTCATCTTATTTTTCTCGTTTTACACCTCTAAATGAAGTGAATTACCGGAATCTGCCCAGAATAGACAAAAGAGTTGGGGAAATAATTTTCGATGGAGGACACTAGATGATGGTTTGAACCAGTGGGTCCTAAATCTCCTCATAGATATCCCGTACGCAATAAATCAACCCATTTTAAGATACAGAGATTGATTGGCATTTCAAACTCGTTCTCAGGCAGGAAGCTAAAGACAAATCAATTGGGGATTTTTTTTATTTTTTATTTTTTGTCCTGGAGTTTCCAGGAGGAAGCTACAGAAAGTACGGATCCAGCCTCTGAACATGACACCACAACTGGGGTTGATGGTTAGGGTTTGGTTTGGAGTTACGGTTTTATAAGTAGGTATAGGGTTAGGGTTAGGGTTTGGAGTGAAGGAGGATAATAGTACGCGAATCCGTCACAAAAGCGTAAGAATAAAAAGCAAGTAAAGAAAGAAAGGAAAAATGTTAGACAGACGTCACTGGTGTGAAGTTTCAAGAGTGAAGTGTATAGAGGGACAGGAATGCTAGGCCCCTTGCAAGCAAAGCTTTTCTGATGCACTTTACGTCGTGTCCATCAACAGTTGTTTGATAGAAGAATTGCTTCATTTCATACATTAAAAAAAAAAATTCAAAAGACCTTTGATTATCACAAATTGTTAGGGATGAAAGGATAGAATGGTCACGTCGATAAACAATTTATTATTACTAATACATTTGATAAAAGAATAATGTTACTCTTATCACATTTGTATACTACATTTTTATACTATCTTATGTGGCATATGAGATGAACAGCCACATCAATTAAAATTAGTTTATTATTTTCTTTTTTTTTATAATTTATTGACACTTTTTAATTGATGTGATTGTCCACTTCATGTATCACATAAGATGGTATGAGAGTATCATTTCTTGATAAAGTTATAGCTTATCTCTATCTCTATTTTTTGTAATTTCTAATAGTTCCTATTTAGTAAAACAATTTTCATTTTTAAAATTGCTATTAATCTAATTTAAATTTAATTACTTAGAAAATATTTGTACATCTTTGTTTTCAAGTTCTTATTAGGGAAAATCTGTAATTGTACCATTCTTATTAGGGAAAATTGTAACTGTGCTAATATCACTAAGGTATTTTAAGATAAAACTTTATACCTTTTGGGTTTTGTAGATGGTTAAATCATATATAATATATGTGTTGTTAGTAGCGGGTCGCTGACCCATCTCTTTGAAATCTAACAAACAGAGCCTCGCCTATTCATGACTGTGATTCAATTCCCTGTTGAAAATCTCTTAAACGCTCTTCATGCTTAGAATCCCCTCAAGCACTGAAATAGTAAAATAAATGGGAAATTATAGTGGTTTTTTTGCGGTAAGAAGTGGAAGTTATGATTTTTGGTTGCTGAAAAGTTTAAAAGGAGGGGAGGCTACCCATCCCAGGGCCACCGAAGTTATGATTTAATGTGGAGAATATTGTAAATAATTAACAACATATAGGAAGGATATTCCCACAAGAACGAGAAAGATGAGAAATCCAATTTCAATCAAATGAGGTTGATATGGTGATTTTCACATAGTACAAACGAGTTGTAGCTATAGCTTAGCTAGCTGCAATATTAACAGTCTGAGTGAGTATATGCGTACGTATTTACAAAGTGGTTTGTTCTTGTTTCGCATATTGTAATTATTCCCTTTGGCTCCATATATACGTTCTGTTGTTCCCCAAAAATGCAGCCTTGCAGCTTCTTTTTTAATGTCTCATTTCGTTTTGATCTCTTTTTTCCTTATTTCCCCAATCAATGGCTTGGGTTTATAGACCCTGCTTTTTCCAAAGCTGTCATTCTATGGCATTGAGGAATCTGAATTCATAGGAATACAACGGGGTTTTGTTGCCAATCTTGTTGTCCATTGGTGAAAAGCGAAGATGATGCTACTTTCCAAACAAAAATAATGGTGATGGACAATTTTCTTTCTTTCATTGTCAAATTTATTTCTCATTTTAATATTTTTACATATCAAATTTTTGTAAGAAGAGAACAAAAAATGATTGAATACAAAACCAATGGCATTCTGTGGGTGATTGTTGTTAGTGAAGCTCAATATGTTCGACACAGAGGTGTTCTAGTTCAACCTGTGCGTGCACTGCTTGAACTCAAACACCTCTAAGAGATAAAAGGTACCAAAATATAAGCAAATTATGAGACTTTATTAGGAAAACATGAGAGTATTCGTCAGAATTGTTATAATATGATTTTTTTTAATTTAAAACATGATGTTCCTAGCATTGCTCAAGAATAAATCATTGATTTTGACAGGGAACTGCAGGAGAGAATATTATTGAGAGGCTATTGGTCAACATTTATTAAAGCTTATCATGTATGTGTTCCTTCCATTAGTGCAAACGCTTCCAGCCAACTAGAAAGGAGTAATTTGCTTTTCTACTTGCGGATATAAACTCATCATGTTTTCCATTTGCGGTGGCCGGCCCCTTTGCTCCCTCCCATTAAGCTTTGCTCCCTGCATGGTAATATTGTGATTAATTCATGTTAATATTGTGATTAATTCATGTTAATATTGTGATTAGTATAAATATAAACATTATGTGGGAAAAGTTCAAGGGGGGAAGCTTTTTGTGGCTGGCACATTAGCATTAACTAGGCGACCCAAACTCTAATGATGCAGAAAGATTTTTCATATTTGAATAGGATATATAGTCCTCCCAACCCAAAATGCTAAAAAAAGGAAGAAAGAATAGGATATGTAGGCATATAAATAGTTCTTTTGGCCGACATTGTATGGCTTTTTGGTGTCCAATCTATGCCACTATGAACGGAGCCGAACTGTTGCGCAGAATGAGATGCCTAATTAATTTCCTTCCCACGCTCAATCCCTCTCTGGGAAAAACCAGACCACATCTAGTATCTGGCTCCTTGTATTGCTAATTACTATTTACCCCATTTCTAAGGTGACCGACCGATGAAATGGGTTAATAACTTAAGTAGTTAAGAGCAATTATATATGCACCCGAAGTTCTATATTCGAATTCCCTCATTCATCTCCCAACGATGAATATGATCTTTAACTCACCGACGTACAGTCAGGCTCAGAGAGTGGTTCGGCCTACTTGGTTGGTGGGCTTCAGTCCAATTCGATGGGTTGGTCAACAAGGGCTTAAGACGCAAAACCGGAAATTGATTTGAGGTACTGCTCATAAGTTCGGAAGTCCAGTATCGGTGAGTCATGCCTAAAGGCAAAAAATCCAAAGATTCTGGGTTGGGTTGTTGCGGTTGTACCTGGGTTCTCAGTGTTTTTGTTTTTTGGTCTGATGTGGTTCTTGGTGTTTAATGCGGATGAAACCAACTATTTTGTGCCGTGTACAACGCACAGAAAGCTCCATCTTTATCAAATGCTTTCACAATTGCAAATTCTCAACTCAATGTCAAGCCAAATTAAAACAAAAAATATGCTTTCCAATAGAAATTCTCCACCATTTCACTAGTAATTTTTTCTTAATTTTGAAGGAAAATGCCTTTTTAAGTTTCCAAAAGTATTTTATAGAATCCACCCACTTCTTGAAAGACATTGTACACATGGAGCAAACAGTACAGGTTAACGTTCTTAATACCTACCTGGTACATATATATAGCTAATGACCAGATAGCAAATTATCATGGTGCTGCTGGCTATAACTTCTGGATCACAACCGAATTGGCAAGCCCTGCCTGCTCTATTGTTTGAGTCGGGTCATTCAGGAGTTTGGGAGGGAACCCCATAATCTGCAGCTGATAACTCCTCGGACCCTCTGGCCTAGATGTGTCAATGAAGGCGCGTATGTCACTTATGGTATGGTTGTAGTTAAAATGTGCAGGCAAGCGGGTCCCATCAGCCAACCTAAGCTGAACCGATGTTGATGGCAACGTTTCATCCACAACCAGGCCAACGGATGGGGTTGGAGCAGTGTTTAGAGGAGTCGGTGCAGTTGTTGGCTCAGATGCTACTGGAGTAGAGCTGCTACCTAGAGTTCTTCCCACACCCTGAAATGGAACACGCCGCTTCACCGGTTCCTGCAAGAACAGAAATATCAATGATTGGTAAAAGTAAAAATGTTCCACTGGCCTTTGATATCAGGCCATCTAAACTTAAATGCATTTGCAGATATGACTTCATATTGGAGAGCCTTCAACTAGAATACTATTGAATGGGAGTGTACAAAGTATATATCTTAAAGAGAGAACTCACTGGGCATTTCTCATTCCTCCTTATTAGATTGACATGAACTGAGGTACTTCTATCTTCAGGTTCCAACTCTTTTGGACATTCAGACTTTTTGATGCTCTGGGTTGAGACAGGGAATAATTAGATACAAAATGTCATTCCTGACAATGGTACAATACCATGAAACAGAGCAAGAGCAACCCAGCGCTTATGCCAGGGTAATTTGTTGTCAATAATAAAGACGAACATCTACGTATGCAGAAACAATTCATCCATAAGATCACAAGCAGAGTTATCACATCAACTAATACACAAGAATGCACCGTGCAAGCTTATTGTACAGAAAATAACTTTAAAGGACAGTAATAATCAATCTCATCCACAACAATTGAACCTATAATCTACCGGTTTCTTTTTTTCTTTTTTTTTTATGTCTATGAGTCACACTTCCATGGCCATTACCTCTAAGAAAGATGCATTTTCAGGATCATCCAACGGCCTCAACGGGCCATCATTTATGGTAAAACCATTGGACCAGAAAATGATGTTGTGAACAACAGTCTCGGGCTGCTGAGGAGTAGATTGTACAGTTTCCCCAGAGAGTAATCTACCAGTTCCAGTAAAGCTTCTTGAGCTTGAAGATGCACTAGAAGGATCAAAAGGCCCCTCTACAGCTCCCAATTCCCTAGCTTGATCAAAAATCGAATCCACGTCATTACCCTTTGAAGGATCCTGGACAAGCATTCCGCTGCCAATATTGTAATTACAAATGTTAGAATTTCTTTAAACATTTAAAGCTTAACATCAGCTCTTATTACTGTTCATTTCTGTAAGACAGAGCATTAAAAATAATAAGAGTTTTTTGAAAAAGAGCCACAAGGATACTACCCATGTAGCCACAAGGCAATATAGACAGGGGGGGAGAACCAGTTTTAGCAAACCCCTTGCACATTTAGTATCCATTCACCATCACCCTCCTCTAGGAACTAAGTTACCAATTAACTTACAGCTGCATCCCATAAATCTCCCTTTCATTTCATAACATCATATGCCCCTCCAAATATGTTTCCTAATGGAACCCAGACTCACCATTAGCAGTTCCACAACAACCTCAACCCATCTGATGAGAACAGAAAATAATGGCAGTATGCCCCACTGTCAACCAATTGATGTCGTTAAGTGTGAGTACAGGATCATAACAGTGCCTCCTTTTCTTTACCAAAACATACAAAAATTCAGTTTTCTACGTTTTAGTTGATACAATTGGCAAACAAGCATGAACAAATGAACAACAATGATAAACAAAAAAAGACTGTTAAATTCAAAGCTTAGCATGTTGGCTATTCAGTGATACAAACAAACCAAAAAGAACAAGAATTTCATAAACCCCATAAGAACAGAATCCGAGAATCGAAAGAAATGTTTAAAAAAAAGTCTCAAAAGAAAGAGAAGGACGGACCTTTTCTCGCCACCAGTGTAGTATTCCTGGGGGCCATCCGAGTCACTGTCCGAGTCGGCAGACCTCCGGTTCAGATCGGAAAGTGTCCGAATTCCTCCGATTCGACTTTTGGGCGCTTTCTTGTCCTCCGACGCCATTGCTGCTATCTCTCCAGAGAGAGAAAGAGAGAGAGAGAGAGAGAGAGAGAGAGAGAGAGAGCGATCTTGATTCTTGACTTGACTGATCAGCTAATGTGTGAGTCCGTCACTTTTAACTTATTCAACGCTCTTCAGAAGCGCGTGTCCACGATTTTCCAAACGTGAGATGTGATAGGATGAGGGCGGTCTCACCGACTGTTTACTGAGCTCTCCTAGTTTTGACTTTTAACTGTTTAACTTGGTGTGACATTAGTTACCGTGGAGTAAAGTGTATAATATACTTGTAAATTTGCTTATTTACGTAAAACCAATAAAACGTCAACCAAACGGTGCATCGCTTTTGCTTTTCCGTAGTTGAAGAAGATCATCGCACAAACGAAACGAGGGCCCGATAGTGATAATAATGGCATTTCAGACCGGTCGAACCAGACCGCTGAACCGGAACGCACGCAACAACGAGGGCCGTCAGAATTACGCCTTTGATGCCGGGCTCTTATCCGGCGCACGCCCAAACGTAGCCGATCGCGATGGTGAAGATTCTGACGTGCAGTTCAGCTCTGACTCGGAGAGCTCCTCCGACTCGGATGGCGAGTCGACGCGGTTGTCAGGACTCGCGGCGAGCTTCCGAGTGGTGTCCGATTCGCTTCTGAGAATGGAGCAAACGGAGCTGGAGATGGCCAAGGCGAGGGAGGCTTTGCGGTTGAAAGCGGAGAAGCAGCGGGTTGAGCTGGAGGCCGAGTTGACTCAGATGCTGTTGCAGACTCAGTTGCAGGTGGCGTCGTTGGTTTCGCGGCAGAGTCCGAGGCGTAAAAGGAAGCGAGTTGAAGACGCAGATGAGTCGCCGTCGCCGTCGTCATCAATCTCCCAAAGGTATGGCGGGTATTGTGTTTGCATTGATTGAAGTAGTGGAATTTGAGAGTGATCAAAGTTTATTGTTGTTGAATGCAGGGAAGGAGCTTTGGTGTTGAGCCTTGTTCAATGCAATTTGCTATTTTAGTTATGTCACCGCTAATAAGGGGGTGGTTTGTTTATTTCATTTTAGATCCAGCTCCAAGCCTCTAAAATGGCGGCAGTGCTTCATATGCTTGTGCCTGCCTGTATTACATTTCAAGGGGCACATTCATGCTTGTACTTACTTGATCACTTCTACTTTGATTATATAAAATTTTGGATTTTGACCATATCTACTGCTGCTGTTTAAGAAAACCTCTGATAATTAGACATCATATAAATAAGGAACTACCAAAAAGGGCATGGGATGTAGGAACTTTTAATCAACTAAAAGCTTGGGCTTCTTCGTGCCAGACTCAGAACTTTGGGGTTTTCCTTGTGCGGAAGTGAGTAGACCCTTGAGTCGATTCAGAGCACTGTCTAAGTAATGCTGCAGAGGCGGAAGAAGAATGCTGCCTTGCTCTCCTCCATCTTTGGATATTTGTCCACGGATTATCTATCAAATTCAAAACCATGAATGAAGATAAGCTGTTTGTAAAAACTTGGATGAAGACAATTGTTTACCTTTGATGCCCACGACCGCTCAGCTTGTTGACACACGTCTCTAATATCCCTTCCAGACATTCTGAAAAATGGCACGGCAAGGGACGATTGAAACAGTGAAGCAAAAGCCAGATCTTTCTACTAGGATTAAAAGAAGCTTTTCGTTTATTGTTCTGTTAGGAGGTCAGAATGGTATGTCCATGCACATGGTGATCAAAGAGGGGAAATAAGGTAAGAAAGTTTTGTATGTCAGGGCCTATGTAAAACTTACCCCTCTGTCGCTGTTGCCAATTCATCCAATTCAGATTCAGTCAGGTGCTTTGCATACTGAGCTGCTATTTCCTTACGATTTCGCTGATCAGGGAGGTCGAACGTAATGATTGAATCAAACCGGCTGCACATTATTGATAAAAAGTGGGCAAACAATTGCGGCAACTTAGGGTACTGTACTACTATCATCCTCTTAAGGAAGAAAATATACCTAATCATGGCCGGATCGAGGTCTTGCTTTCTATTTGTTGCAGCAATTACAACCACTTTCTTATCTTGTTCAAATCCATCAATCTGCATGGGAAGAGTATGTTTACCCCTCTGTTGGTATGTCCATGCACTGATAGTTTCTTAACAGTACGAGTTTTTTACTCAAATTACTTATTAAAAAAAAAAAAGTTTGCCTCAAATCACTTGGAAGTTGGAGTCACAGTCTGGATCAAGCAAACCCCTGTTCCAGGGCATGCTCTATCTAGAAATAAGCCTTTTCTGTAATTCTTAAAAGGGAATATTGAAGCTTTGCTTTTAGGCTTGTTTTCAACATTACTGTAAAGCAATGAGAATCCAATTTCACCTGTCGCAGTAAAACTGATAAGACTCTCCGTGTAGCTTCGTGCATGTCACTATCACGCGAAATAGCAAAAGAATCAACCTGAAATAGAGTCAATATATCAGGAAGCAAGGTTATCTCAAAACAAAATACAAAAATATAGAACTGCAGTCAAACCATACAACAACATATTATCAGTCTCCAAGAAATATCACAAACTTGGATGAATATCTCTAAGATCGCCGCTAGGCATTAATTGCTTCAATTACCTCATCCAGAAAAATGATAGCACCATCAGGGAGTTGATTTGCAAGTGAAAAGACTCTTCCTAATAGTCGTTCACTCTCACCATAGTACTTGGACAAGATAACCTCAAGAGGCACATATAGCAATGGGACGCCCTGCAAAAACAGGTGACTTAGCATGCCAATAGATAGACAAATAAATAAATTAATATACTGAAAAATGGTAGTGCCTGGAAGCTCACCGCTTGATTAGCAATGACACGAGCAGAAGATGTCTTTCCCGTACCTAAAATTGAACACACATTCTTAGTAAGTGTGCCAAATATCAAAACTAATGCATTTGCATAATTCTCGTAAGTTCCAAAAGCAGGCATGTGAAAACCCAAGTCTATTTGTTTTGGTAATTCTATTGGCACCCCAAAAAAAAGGTTCAACACACCGAAGTTTTCACACAAAAAACTCATGGTAAATGTATCATTTTGAATTAGTAAAATGGACCACGATTTAGGAAGAAAGAAAGCCAGTTCCATGGTTGGCTTCTTTTCTAAAGTGTTTTGTTTTGGGAATTTGCGCTCCCCATCATCTGAAGTAATTAATTTATTGCCCTAGCACATTAGTTTTCCATTAGCACTATGATGAATATTATGCTCCTGTGTAGAAAAAGATTCCAACCTATGATAAATGTTTTTTCAACAAGGACCAAAATTCACAAGTTTTTTACTTGATGCTTTTGTACTCTAATGAATCATTACATTCTCTTGACAGAATGACAAACAAGAATCAGGGATACATAAAATGATCAATATCAGTATGTCAATACCAAATATAGCAAGTTATTCAGGTTTGATAGGTGCACCTGGTGGACCTTCAAACAGTACAGCTCGAGGTCTATTTGACTCAAATTTACAACGAGTCCCACGGGCAATATCATCATATGTTTTAGGACTAAGCAGAGCCAACAGTATAGTGTCTTCTATATCCCTGCACAATGAGAAGCAGCAGTTGAATATTGGTAAGAAATGAATGCACTCTCATGCATATACATAAATGCACTTATACATAAACAATATAACCACAAACCAAAGCTCTCTTTCTTAAGTATCAGACTAATTTAATATTAACACAAATGATTAAACTCAGCCAGAACATCCATGTTACTCTGACTCTTCAAAGAGATAGCAAAGGCAACTATGATTTCATACAAGAAACAATTCCATTACTCATATTTAATATTAGGTACAACTCAGTGGTGAATTGACTGCTTTCCAAGGACACGGCCTCAGTTCAAGTATGGACCCTAACACCCCAAAAAAGCATTGCAACATAATTAAATCGCATTTCGGTTCAAGCATTGACTGCTTTACTTACCGTTTTTGCTGATCATATCCAGCAATATTGTCCCACGAAATATCTTTGCTAGAGGAACTCACATGGGGTTCATTAATTCCATAAATTCTCACTCCCATAGACTCAAGACTGGCTATTAATTTCTCTGAAGATGGCACTTGTGTGGTATCTTCTCTTGGTCTTCTTTCCAACGTACTGTTTTGCCCTGACTTTGTCCCAGCTAATTGTAAAGCAGCCACCAAAGCATCAAGCTCTTTGGGACTCAAGCTCCCCTCCTTCATAAATTCAATGTCCTGCAATATTTTATGCTGACTGATATGAAAATCTCATAGCCCACCCCTTCTTTACCTTTGTGCTATTGGAGCAGCACAAAGTAAACAAGACAAAATGCAATATTTTCAAAAACTGCATAAAATGGAGACTTACAGCTTTATCTGAGGGAGTAATTACTGAGCGGAATACAAGGATGCGCAGATCTCCTTCATGTTTATTCACATCTTTTAATTCCCCTCTATCACTTCCAGTTTCCTCCTTTTTTTCTGGGTGAGTTAGCATTAGTTGCCAAGCAACTCCACTTACATAGTTCACAAGAAACAGAATATTTAGCACATTATGGTTCAACCAACTACAAATAACGCTAAATGGCTCAAACAAATGCAACATAACGTTTAAGCTAAATCTGATAGTTAGAGTTCAGAACACAATAACAGAACCAAGAATCAATGGTCTAAGAATACCTGTCCCAAGCACGTAACGACATATCTGAACCACCACCATGTTCTTCTACCTTTAGTCCAAGATGCGAAGCAATATTTGCAATCAGTTGTGAAGCTTCACATGCTGGAGGAATTTGGAACTTGATGGAAACCTATACCCATTGGAAGCTCGTATCAACACTGATTTGAAAGAGTTCTATACATGTATTCTTTTATGAGAACAAAACCACATATTCAAAATATGTGATTATCAGGCATGCCTCAACGCTTAAGATATCAACTTCATAAACCATGAAGAGTAACGACAACCAAGAATATTATAATATAATAAAGACCCATCAAAACCCTCTAGTCAACAGAACAAAATCATATTTACCAAGTAGTTTTCTGAAGAGGACACTGCATAATTAATTATAAGACCTTAGCATGTGTGCATGTTCGTGTCTAAGTATGTATTAAACTTCCAGACATGTAAAACTGTGGCATTTCAATTAAGTGCAATAACCTTTTGTCCCTTCACAGCAACAGTAAACTGGGGATAAGAACCACGTCGAATTCCTTTACTTTTCAGCAAGTCTTCAATTTTCTGTCGTTGTTTCTTGGCAATTTCCTCCAGGTCCACATGACTTTCAGTTGTAGGAGACTCAGCTGGCGAAGAGGGCTTGGAAATATCCTGCACAAGTTAAAGAGTAAGAATAGTAAAATTGGTCCAAGAATGATGATCCTACAGAAAATTTATGCACATGTACCTCCTCCGCCGCATCTGCATAAGCCACCTCTATCCCTCCAACTCCAACTCCAAGCAAACCAGCCAACACAGCTGGAAACATAAGATTTCGTCCAGAACCATTCGGGTTGGGCACCTGAATTTCAGATGCACTGGAATGAAATTGATGCTCAAAAGCCCCTGCATTTGTCAATTATAAGCATCAATTTCTAGCGAGATGCATATGCACCGAAGAAATTAAACAGAAAATTATGAGTCTAAAGGAGAGGAGAGAGATAGAGAAGGCGAGGGTTTGAAATATCACGTGAGCGAGCACGAGGAAGAGGGTTTAGGGTTTGGGAAGGAGTGGAGATTGACCGCCAATTCCGATTCCGAGCTGTTCTAACCACCAGTCGCAAAATGGTCATAGTGTCTTCTGTCTCTAAGTATCAGCGTAAGCTTTGTGAGTAATTGGTGCCGTGAAGTTTTGATCGCTGTGTGTTTGTTTTCATGAGTAAATGTGGCGCGGAATCCCCGCACACCTACCCAACTCAAATGTAGCCAGCCAGCCAGTCACGAAACACACACCGACGATATTATTCTATTCCATTGCCTTCTGGTAAAGTATCGCTGCGCCAGAAAGCTGGGTTTTTATGCCACAGTAGCCCATCTCAATTATGTGGCCCAATCTAAATCTGGTCCAACGTTTAGGCCCCTTCTTTTACGTCAATGTATAATAGTACTTTTTATTATTATTAATAATTCACATTTGAATTTATTTAAAGTCTCGTTTGCATCAGCAACAGTCAACATATTATGTCTTACAAATCTCATGTGTCACTCATAAAAACTAGCTTTGATTAATCTCCAATCCAGTTTAACCCGAGTCACCAAACGAGACCCAAATATGTAGGTATTTATTTGCAGTCAGTACCAGTGTACTGCCAACAAATATAAGTGAGTTTGGGATATTCCGGTGCACAATCTTGTTTTCAAGAGGTGTGGGTGAAAATATCACCAAACCAAGCCTAATCTTATAAAAAAACAAAGGTGTATACCCAGCCATTTTGTGTTGTGTGTATTTAGCAAACAGTATCCAGAAAATATGGCGCCTCACTCTCTCTCTCTCTCTCTCTCTCTGCAACTTTGAGTGAATAATTGGTTGGCTCGGGTTCTAATAATAAGTCATCGGTTCGGGAAGAAGGACCACTTCTTTCATCATGGACAATTATCAGCGTTATAGCAACCTACAACTTGAACTTGTAGACAGGAGGATTTGGAGGAGATAGTACTACACCAACAAACAAGCAACCAATTTTGTGAAATCTTTAAAAGCCACACCGCTTTGTTTTCCTCTTTTTGCCTTTCTTTTTGTGATAAAGGCAAGGGAAAAGGCCATCACTTTCCTGATTGCTTGCATTGCATTTGCATATATTTTGCATATGCAGTGAAGCTTCTCAAGTCAACAAGGCATATGCTGCTGAACATGGCTGCTGGTAAGAGGTAGGGCTCCAGTCCAGAAAGTTGATAATAGGTAGGGCTCCAGCCCAGAAAGTTGATAATACGTAGGGCTCCAGTCCAGAAGTAAATCAACAAACTAAAACATCAGATAAATAAAATTTTACAACCAAACCAACCCATTTGTTTCTGCTCAGAAACCTACTTTTCAATCTAATTACATGTAGAAAAGATACCCTTTTCATATTATAAATATTTTTTCCGGTTCTATTCGCCACAGAGAAAAGAGAAGAAGAAGATTATACAAAATCAATCAACCATGGACCCTCGGAAATTATACAAAAATAAGTTAAAAAGTCGAAAGACGATTAATATTACTTAATACACCTTCTTAGAGAAAAGGCTGCGCAGATTAAAAAGATTACCACCGACGCCACTATCTCCACCGTGACCACCGCCGCCACCGCGGTTTCTGCTGCCACTGCCTCCACCGCCGGCCACACCTACAGCACTATTCTCGTCACTTCTACAACTCAAATGGCTTCTGTACCCAATGCACATCGGAACATTCAAATTCAAGACCCTGCCTTTCGCACCACCCGCGCCAGCGACAACGGTGGTATTTTTACTCCGGCGACTCTCGGGCACTTCCTTTTTGGTCCCCTTTTCAGCATTCCGAACATGTGGTTCCAAGCTGCTCTTTACCGCCACCGAGCTCCCGCGCCGGACCTGCCAAACCGGGCTGCTGCGACCCAAATGGACTCCGGGCCGACCCGGACTTGCAGGAGGCCATTTTCTCGACTTCGACTCGCCCGTCGAGTTGCTCCTTGAACACGGCGCGCTGTTCACCTTCCGGGTTGCGGGGGATCCGAATGGTGGTTTGGGTCGGGTATACGCGTTCCCGGCGGATCTACTGCGTGAAAAAGGCCATATATTGATGTTCAACTCGGCCGAGCTCGCTCCGGTTCCACCCTTTCGCTCTTTCTTCTTGTCTTTCTCTTTATCATTCTCGTCACCTTTGACGGTTTTCTTCTCGCCCTTCTTAAAAATGTCCCTCCAACGCTTCGATGCGGTTAGAACTGGAGCGGTTGACAGCTCGGGTCCTGGGCTGGGTTCCGGTTCTGGGTCCGGAACAGCTGGTTCTGAGACGGTTTCTGAGTCTGGAACAGGCTGTTCTGAGATAGGTTGTGGATTTGGGTCGGGTTGGTTGGGGAGGAGGTGGAGAGGGAGGAGCACGCCATCAACAAAGAGTTCATCTGCGGAGAGGAGATTGGGTTGAGGGCAGGAGGGGTTCCGGACCATCCAGAACTCGAACTCGGGCGAGTTGGAGTCGGTGCTGGTTCGTCTTCTTCGACTGCTGCTCTGCGAGAGGGTTTGTGGTTTGAATTTGGGGCTTTCTTCCATTGAGATTGAGATTTTGGCAGTGGGAGAGGGAGGGGGAGATGTGTGGAGGATGAAGAGCGTGGGTGAGATACTTGGGAGGTGGGAAGTTTCTTTTGGTTCCTGAGTGAGCTGCTCAGGGTTCAGTGCTTGGGACCCTACAAACAATAAAGAAAGGAGAATGAGTTTTCAAGGCATTAATAAAGCAGAGAGAGAAGGGAGCTTGGGTTGCTATTTAGTATTGGGTCCATTTTTATGCATACAAGTAGCAAAGGTGAAAACAAATGCTAATTAGAAATTGTCATGGATGTGGTTTTACCCTGGAAAAGGAGAATAATAAGTTTGGTGAATTTAAAGTGTTTGTTGTGATTGATTCATTCCTAAGTCATACCTAATTTCGTTTAAATTGGAGTTTAACTAAATACTGTTTTTACGCGTACACGTAAATACGAACTAAATATTAATTGGTGAAATTCACACTGACTAAAATAACCATTGATCATTTCGTACGCGCATAAACAACAATACAGTTAATTATCGTAATTTAATATCAGATTGCAATTTTGGATTTTTGAATTATGATCATATATTATGGTACGAATCGTACTCTTACGTTATGATATCTCCTAATTTAGTATCCATGTGGTAGAGTAACCAAATTTGAAGCATATGTGATCCAATTCAAGTTTCTAAAGCAATATGATATTCCTATTTCGCAAACGACGACTTCAATGTCTTTCTAATTTAAATGGAGAGTTATGATTATCTTTATGAATACGTATAAAGTATTATGAACGATGATGAAGATACACCTCAAGTTAAAGTGGTGAGCAAAAATATTTTCATTTAATTGTACATCTTGATTTTATTCTAACATCAAGAATCTCAAATGTGTACAGCCTTTTTTGGGCTTGATTTGTAAAATGAAAGACATGTTTGCAAATTTATCCTACCTATTAATTATGTATAGGAATATTCACCCGCATTTAAAAAAACAAAAATAAAACAAAAGAAAGAGGAATATTCACCATCCAACATTATTTTTCCCATCCAAATTGATCATTGAGCATCGCATAGCTGATGTGTATTTTGGTTGATGATAAGCCTATTATTAATTAGATAATTAGTTAATTAATGAGAATATGCTGACAACATATATACAACAAGGAAAAGTGGATTAAACCCCAACATCAAAAAGTGTGGACAATATATGAAGTGAGGCTGACGTCGTATCAAGGCGCCATGTGGATGTGGGGTTTCCAAATTCAAACCAAGTTGCCTACCCAGATTCATGGCACCTCCTCCTCATTATAGAGTGTCATCCTAAGCGTTGACATTCAGTCCCATTATTATTATTTATCCCTGTTGATCCAAAAACATCAAACACAATCATTTTACTCACATTCGATTTATTAGGTATCATACATAGATGAAACTAATCAAACTCTCCCTAACTCAAAATGATTATATCATATTCGTTTTATGACTACTTCGAATTCTTGATATTATACAAATTTGACAGAGAGGAGGGAATACGAATAGAGAACTTCAATCGCATCGATAACTAATCTTAACTACTAATACGTGGCACGCCGCAAATTCCTTGCAAATCTGCTATACCTTTGTAGGCATAAGTGTGGATTATAGAATGTTTTTGTTGAGGATGAACTATATTTTTCATCTATTTATCGTTTTATTAGCAGTTGACTTGCTTTCTCTAGCTGGCTGCGGGCTGTAAATAAATGAAGAAACTTTTATCAATTTAGTTTTGGCCCATTTATTAATTTAATCTTCCCAACAACTATCAATATTGACCATGTGATGGGCAGAAAGTAACAGGAATAAAATAAGATCACACGGTTGGAGTGGTCGTGCCAATCCTATGCATTAGGTTTAGGTGTACAAAATGACAACAATATTTTGGGTGGATATGTTATGTGATCTCATATCAATCACAAAATGAGAGAACATAAGGAAGATGATGGGTAAGTTGTTGTATGCTAGTAATAGTGGTGGTGAAGCCTGTGGACCTGGGAACCAAAAGCATAGCTATTGGGAATGGCTGAAAAGGATCTTCCTTTTTTCCCTTCTGTTAATGGCGTTTGTTTGTAGGCAAAATGATGAGCCATGTGAAAAGCAAAAAAACAACCTTCTCCATCGATGTAACGGGCCCCTCCTCCGAAACAGACCCTTGTTCATATGTGTTAACACTACATGTCGTGTCTTTACTATAGTAGCAACGCACGACTGATGTAAGCATAAC